AAGTGTTTAATACCTATCCTCTGCCACTACCACTTTGTCTTCCTGATAATCCACCATCATACTGGTCTTCTGGGTTGAAATGTAGTCTTCCTCCCCGTTATTGCTACTTTTTGTTTCCCTTTGGTGTACGCTTTGGCTGAGCAATCACTATCATATTCTGAAGAACGTGATCAGGACACCTTGATCTCTTCCTTCGTGCTGTCTTCTTATTGTCTCTGCTAGTGTGCAAGTCAGGGTGATTTGAAATCTTTTGGTGACCCAGTGGGGAGGTTTTTGATAGTAAAAGTAGCAGGTAACTGGTAAAAGACTTGCGTATTAAGAGTTTGAAAGCATGTCGGGAAGAGACTGTCTACTAAAGCATTAATATTCATGAGTGAGAAATTAATGTCCCTTTCTGCTATTTGAACTATTATTAATTCTTATTATGATTTTGAGAGCCATTATACACATTGATAGGCTAATGAACAGTCATTTATAGAGGGATTTTAAGACAGTTTATTCCTAGGAAGAAAGTGCTAGCACTCTAAGACATGCTTTGCACTATTTCAAACCCCTAATTCTTGTTGCTTGCTTTACTGCACATCAGGGTGATTTCTACCTAATCCAACTGTCCAAAGTAATCTACGATTTCCAATCGATCTTCTCTTTGTTTGGCCTTTACTACCATAGTATCTACAAATCCGTATTCTTACCAACTCTACTTTAAAAACATCTATAAACAACAATTAGGTGTTTGCAGTATTTTTGGAGCTCTTCTGTATGTTAATAGTCCTGAGGCAAAGTAAAAAATCTCTTTTCTTCAATATCGTTTCCATTGATGCTGATTATTTGGCTACTTTGTGCTAATTACTCTGTCTGGTCAGTACTGAGCTGCTAGAAAATTTCCCTTCTTCAGGCTGTTGTGAAAAAGAGGGTCTTGTGTCTCTGTCTTTCCTGTTTGTTCTTCAAAAATGGGAATTATTAGCATGCAGGGCATGGGTGTGCAGTACAATCAGAAGGAGCAGTTAGTAATGCCAGAAATAAACCAACCTGATGATGGCTAGGAAGAAGGTAATTAGGACATATTCTCACACTGCCAGGATGATTACATCCTTGGTCTGGCACTGAGCATCCCTTAGTCAGAGTCATACATTTGCTAAGTAAGATGAAGTGGTCTAAAAACCTGTCTGTAGTGGGTAGTAACAAGTTACCAATAATATTTCTTGGGGATTTAGTCATTTAGCTAAAAGTTTCAGGAGGAATGAGTACCCAAGAGGTGCCATGGACTCCTGATGCGGATGCTATTTTAAAGATTATGTCAAAAAAAAAAACACATAGGAAGCTTAGTATTACTTTTCCTGTATGATGCCCTTTTAATTAACACCTCCATTAAGTGCATGGGAACAAAATTTTGCAGTACTGTGTATTAAGCAAAGTGCTTGCTCTCCACCTTCAGTTTCCCCTATAAATAACTTTAGATATGGCCATAATATTAGAACAATTTAGATATGACCAGAATATTAGAAGATAATTCAGGGCATTTTAGAATCTCAGAATTCTACTTGCCAGGCTGAAGCTGGATAATTACTGTCCATGTAGCTTATATTGGAGAATTTATAAATGATAAATGTAAGGCCACAAGACCTCTGACCTAATACTAATTTTGTTTCTTAGGATTTGGAAAGCAGGTTTTTTCAACGACTTTGTCTAGTATATTACGGGCAAGTCATTTTGTGGTATTTTGGATGAAATATGCACTTCTAAAGTGTACCCAAATGCTGCTATGAAGTCAGGTTCAGCCACACTTAAATTACTTAGCACCGCAAATAGTTCTATTGATTTTCTGGAAGATCAACAGACGTGGTTCAACAGATTGTCTGCAAGTAAAATTGTGCTTCATGTGAGTAAGGTGGTAGAAGTGCCAATAACAGAAACACTTAATCACCTTATTTACAGAATTCAGCCCGCATGGCCATACAAACTTATGCCAGGACTTCAGCCACTGAAACAAAAAAAATCTAACCCCAAAATCTGTTAAGAAATATTAGCAGGTAAATGGACTAGGTGATTATAAATCTTTATTTTAATTGAACTAGTTTTTTTTGAAAGATCTCTGACAGAAGACAGGAAAAAAAAAAAAAATTGTCTGCTACAGTCCTCTGTGCAATGATGGCTGATATCCACAGCATAGGAAATATTCAAATAGCAACTAGTCCTTCCAGATATTTTCAGTTGGAGAAAGCTGTATAGACTGTGCATCTGCATACACTGCATCTGTCCAACTGCAGTTACAAAAAACTCCACTGATATTCCACAAAGGAAAATTCCACCCAGCTCCCAAAGCTGGAACATCTGTCTCTGGTTTGGAAGGCTTGAGTTCAGGTCTTTGATTTTCTCTGCAACAGGTTGGAAAGATTACTACACTGGAAAGGTTTTTTTCAATGAGGTCTAGCGATTATGCCCTCATTTCAGTTCCTTATCTCTAATATGAATTTAATAGGTGTCACGTAAGTAGTGTAGATAAATAGGTGATTTATTGCTTAAAATACACACACAGAGACAGATGTATATATATGTATATACTCTAAATAGACATCCTTTGGTCAGAATTATAATTCTTCCGCAGACAGTTTTCTGAATGAAGGTATCTGTTAGTGCTGTGGGTTTCCCACTGAAGGCAGATGAACACAGGACTGAGATTAATAAAAATGTAATGTTGCAAAATCTGACTTGCAGGCTTTCAAGCGGAATTCACAACCTAATATGAGGTCTCTCAGGCCTCAGTATGAGGAACGGAAAACATGGGATCCATATCAGCTACCAAGTCCCTGGAGAAGGGACAACATTTGTAGGGCACCAGATCTAGTTAGCATACGTGGCTTAGGTTCTGGCAATCCCCCTTCCCCCAGGATCAAGCTTCGCCAGACATGTAGGAAAAGTAAGCCCCCATCTCTAGAGCTCAAGGTTTTCAGCCCTGGTAGACAAGGAAAAATTTCTCTGCGCAGGGAGAAGTAGAGCCACAGGCACCTAAAGTTCTTCGAAGGCCACAATCACAGTATCTAATTAGCTTATACACCTTCAGGGATAGATGGCAGCTGAATAAGGTTTTTCAGAGTTATAACGGTGAATTTAAGTGCCTAGACACTACCTGAGGTCCGCATTAAATACTCATATAATTTTTGGTTTTATCAAGATCTGGAATTCTTTTTTTATTTTTTTTGATTGCTCTGATAGACCATTAACACTTTTTTCAACTGATTTCACACATATCCTTCCGTTATATCAATTAGGGTCTCCTGGTGCATGCTAAGCAGAATTCACAATGTCATTCCTATCAATCCTATAATGTTATGTGTTACTCTACTATATGGAAACTGAAGATGTTTATTTAACTTCTTACACATGATAGAGTTTTATAAATTTTTTGTTATCAAAAGATGTTAGATAAAAAATTTATTGCAGTTTTGCTGGTGTGAGATACTGGTCTTTACTGGTCTTGTCTAGCAAAATCTACAATGATAACATGGCAAAGCAATAAACTCTTCTTTCATGAGAATAGTAGGGGTTTTTTTAAACCCACAAAGGCTAGCAGTGCTATCTGTAGCTGTCAGTCCTCACCATGTTAGTCAGTTGTCTTCATCTTCAAGATGGCTGGCATCAGTAAAAAGGTCTGCTCTGAGCCTGGGCTCTGCTTGTGCTTCAGAAAGGTCCCCCAGAACCCACTGCCTGAGCAGTTCAAGATGACGTGTTGCAAAAACTCACGTCTATCTGGGCAATGATGACACTTCGGTCTTCAGCAGGCCATAGCAAAGTTTGCACTGAATAATGCAACTGTTGAGGAGTTTGCACTGAAGCTGTCTGCACCAAAATGAGGCAAAAAAACTGTGTCAGGAGGCAATAAACAAATCTAGTCATCAATACATAATCATGATCGAAGAACAGAGCAACATTGGTGGAAAACATAGTGTAGCAAGGACCTGCTCTGAACTACTATGGAGTGTTACGAAAATAGTAGCTGGGAAGCAGAAAGGAAGTAAATACATTCATTTATTCTGACAGTCATAACATCCTTCTATCATCTTGGTGGAAAGTTACAAAAGATGTCTAAAGAGATTTTCAAAAGACATCTAAAGAAACCTCACTCGAGGCTTACAAAGAACAAGGCTCAAGGCCAACTTGTCTTGGAAAGACAAGTCAGCATATTGCACTGTAAGAAATCCATGACAGTCTCTTAACATCATCACGTAATAGGTTCCTGAGAAACCAAATCTTATCAGTCTCTGGCATTATGCAAATTTCTGTCATAATCTCAATCTGTGGGCTTCGAGTCCTAATCAAACTGCCTTCAGATTCACAGTTGGCGAGCCTCCTATTGAAATCGTTTTCCTATCCTCCATTTACTTGTCCAAGCAAGTTTGGGGGCTTGGCATGGCATCAGAAAGCCTCAATTTCATGTGAACATGGTAATTTATAAACAAATCCAAGGTCATCACAATACATCTCACAAAATAAATAATAATTAATACCTTTTTGGCCAAAGGTAAATATCAGAAGGCAGTAGAAATCCATTAACTAAACGTGAAGAGAAGAAAAAATGTGTAGAAACAAGAAGTATTCAAAAGCTGAGATGCAACTCTTTAAAAGATTTCTTAAAGAGAGGAAAGATTTTGTGGGTAGTGTAATCTCAGCAATATCCATCCATGTAAATATATGAATATGCGTATGGTATATCTGTAGATGTATATATTCTCCCAAACACAATAACGCTAACAATAATAACAACAGCTCATTCAGAAAGTGATACTAGGTACTTCAGTACAGATTGGGAACTAGTAAATCCATTTTGGAAAGCTTTTTGAAACCTTATCTGGAAAGTTGTGTGAAATTCTGATTCAGGAATGATTAACTGATATTGGAAAAGACAAAAAAATCACGTTTTAGAAGAGATACATAAGTGATATAAGACACAGAAAGACTAGAAGAGAAGGCTTCTAATCTATGGGTGTTAAAATACAGACAAAAAGTGTCTAAGATCATCCTGAGTGAAGCCAATAAGTGAAAAAATAGATGAGAATGTGCAGTTTAAACTTAAAAACTATATTTCACAAAAGAGGTGCATAAACTGGCCACAAATATATTTAAGCTGTAACATTCCTGACCATTATAGGTACTATAGCACAGTCACCTCTCCAATTCGAGGCAGTAAGAAAGCATGTAAATGGAGACTGTCAGAGTTGTAATAGCTGAAACTGGTAACTAAAGAGGTTCATTCCAGGCTTTTTGTTCCCAGGAGGTGTCAAGGAACAATGTGCCCCAGTAACCTCCTAGTTCTCTTTCAATGACCTTCCCTTCACAGTCGCAAACTGTTTCTGCTCAACAGCATTTTTAAATAGATCTTTCCAGGTCTGGAAGTAACTGTTCTAGGAAAAAAAAAAAAACAAACAACACCACAAAACCAACATTGGAGGGTATGTCTATGAATAGATTTTTTCTTTCGAGGTGGAAAATAGCCCAACATGTCCAGAAATAAAGGGCATTGAAAAGAAAATTAGTGGGTTAAACATTTCTTCCTGTTTGTTTTTTTTTTTTTTTGCTTAGAAAGTTTGTTGTTGGAAAAGAAAATCTACGCAGGGCTTTGCTCTTTGAAGAATGCCCAGGTAACATCTGTCCATAGGCAGGCTGATTCTAGATTGACTTTTTTTTTTTTTTGGCTAAACATAAGGATCTACCTTTAAAATGAGGTATGTTGCAACATTTACTAAACCATTTCACCTGTTAGCACAAAATTCTGTTGGGCTACAAGGAGCACTTCATAAAACTCTTAGTTAAAATTAACATTTTAGCTGTTGGGTTGGGTTTTTTTTCCCTCCTGAACCTGATACAGTGTTCCAGTGACATGATCAAATCAGTTAATTTGCCTTTTCAAGGAAAAGAGGAGAATCTGAACAACCTCACAGGTAGGGTTACACCAGTGATGAAAATTACCTTAATATTAAAGGAACAGAAAAAGTGTATAATTTGGTCTTATAAATATGTTGGAGGCTTTACAATTATCATCAAAGTAAAAGAAGAAGTTTTAAAAGAATTTGTACTTGGATTTTGCTGTCATGCAAAACTTTGAACAGGAGGGAGATACTCTCCCCCAGCTTAGTCTTTTTTGTTATTATAGTTACAATTTTTTTAGCATAGTGGAAATTTTATTGCCGATGCCTGGCCTGTCTCTTAACTCATGCTAATTATATTCATAATTAAATGTTAAACAAGAATTGACTAGGCCAACTGGCTTGCACAGGTGTTTGTGATATGAATGGTTTAATGCTTACACAATAAATTATGGGATACAAATCTGCAGTAATCTGCTCAGTGAGAACCTTTTTCAAGAACTTTGCTGTACATGGTAGGTCCAGCATAGTGCTTTGAAACCAGGACTTGCAAATAGCACTTACTCAGCAGGATTATGCCAAAACTGGGGCTTGTCCTCAATTGCATGAGCACTAACGAGGCTAAAAGGTTTTTTTTCTGGGCTCTTACCTGCCATGGGACACAGGTGCTCAGAGCATTAATGTTTATGGGCAGCTGGAGGAGTCATTGGATGCTTGGTGGAACCAAAAGCTTGGAAATGGAGAAAGACATGGGTCTCAGCTTGCTCTTCTTCTATCTACTTTTTGGGCATGGAAAATAGTTTATTTGTGTAATTTAAATATCATCTGTGGTTAAAAGAATTTTTCGTAGGGGAAAGAAAGGGTAGAAAGAAGAAGTAAGCCAACTTGAGAGTTTGTATGTGGGTTAGTATCAGAGAAACTCAGAGAGAAATTCGGGCATGAGAGAATGGTGCAAGAGAAGACAAAGAGAAATGCAGAAATCCAAGCAACAACACTGGGCAGAAAAGAAGGAAGAAAAAGAGAGAGAAGGAGCTATTTAGTGACTGTGACAAGATGTCTGTAACCTGGAGTGTTTGCGGGAGGCAGGGGGAGAGGAACTTCTCATGAAGGTTATCTGGAGCTCTTGACAAAGTGAGAATTGGCACTCTAGGCTTGAGGGGAAAAATGTTTCATCAGGCTTGCAAGTGAAGCTTCCACTTGGGGAAAGTAATAACAGGAGGAGAAGCAGCCTATAATGCCCCAGTTACACAATTTCAGAGGTGCAAAAGTGGAAGAGATGGGGGATGGTGTGGGAAGAGAAGACCAGGAAGGGAGAGAAAAGGAGAACCTTCAAGAACAAGAAAAGGAGATGCTGAAAGTCATCACCTCCAGTGCTGTGCTGTGCTGTCTTCCTCTCTCCGTACGCCTTCTTACTATCTAAAAGTTGCTGCCTTCCCCAAATAAAAGTAGTACGACACAGCTCTGTGTGGTGGCACATTGGATCTGAACCAAAAAATAATAGACATGATGATGTCTTGGTGGCAAAAGATGATGACTAAGTTCTTCTCTGGTCCTGGTCACATAGATATTTGAAGACCTGGACTACTATCTAACTTTGTGGAGTACTTTTATGCATCCTAAACACTTCAAGCAGCTTTGGCCCAAGGGACTATTACCTCTCCTAGAATTCTCCAGCACCAGTGTGCTCCGACCATACTGTTCAAGTGCTCCTTATCCTAAACACTTCAAGCAGCTTTGGCCCAAGAACTCTCCAGCACCAGTGTGCTCCGACCACACTGTTCAAGTGCTCCTGACATCATCTTCATTTGGAAATTTCTCCACTAGATAGTGCAACTTTATGGGTCCTCAAGTTCTGGCAGGTAAAACCACCCATAAAACATGCCTTAATATGGACTATTACCCAGCAGTTTTATCAAATGTTATTTTATAATGACGAAAAGTGTACATAGCACCATGGCATCAGGGAAGGCTCTTTGTAACTTCAGACGAGACTCCTCATAGTTATGCATTAAATGAGGTAGAAAAAAGTGTATAACTTTAGCCTATACGCTGAGGACCATGTCAAATCTTTGGGTGAGGATCTGGTAGAAGTAAAATTAAGTAATACAGACCCTGCTTTAACCGTGCCTTTACTACCTGAGAGCAGTAATTGGTCAGAAAGCAGTTACAGTGGCTCATTTTTTCTGAAAGTATTCTAGAAATGGTCTGAAACTGGGATGGAGAAAGAAACAAAAAAATTGAATGTTCTAAAAATTCCACAAAGTAGGCAGGCACAGAATCAAGTTGTGAATGGTCAAAAGAATATCCTCACTGTTTACCATAATACAACACATACAGGGTTGGAAAAGAAAAACGCCACGTCGCTAAAGGGCATGATATAACGCAATAATATGACTAAAGTAATAACAGTAGCACTATCTACAGAATACTCACTGCATTTCACAGAATTTAGGGAAAAGTCTTAAGTCATAGGTTGAAATCAGGCACAGATTTGCCAGGGTGGGAGTCGAAGGTCCCCTTCCCCAAAAGCATCACCTTACGGCATCGCTTGGCACAGGCGCCGCTTCCCAACATCCCCGTTTTGAGTGGATCTGCGCCCGCCGTGGGAAGCGCGATGATTGCAAACTGGAATACTTCGGAAAAGTCACGGTGTCTAAATGTGAGGATCGGCTTGTGTTCTTAGCGAGGCTGGGCCAGAGTTCAAAGTTAATAGGATTTATAATGTCTCTTGAGGGACACAAATTGTGAAAAAGTAGCACTGGAAAACTGGGTAATGTGGCTGCGGAAAAGCATCTTTAGCAGCTGTGCTACACCAGCTGTACCAGATAACAGCTAAAGAGGGAAGTCAAGTAAAGTAAGACATAATGTGGGAATGGAAGAAATGAGTAGTGCTGCACATCCTCCTCCTAAACGGGTGTCAGGGAGTGCGCAGCCCCGAGGCAACCTATTGCACAAGCAACTCCTTGAACAAAAATTCACTTTTAAGGATGCTTCCTTGGATGCAGAAATATTTCTGCAATCCGCCGCTTTCTGCTTGTTGTACAGGTGTTGAATTTGAAATGCCCGCAATTTGAAAATAAAATGCAATTTGTCCTGCTTCCCGGAGAGTCAAACTGCTCCCTTTGACTCCCTTCTATATAAAATTCATTAGCCGTTTGACTACTGTTACATTTTGGCCAAAGCACTAATGCTTTAATTGCCTGGGAAGGTAGTATATCACACGGATAATCTCTCTAAGATCAGGAGTACAATTTAATTCACCAGCAGCTCATGGTCTGACTCATTCACTGTTAAACACTTTTGAGTGATAGTGTTGAACTGGGGAAAAAAAAATAAAAAATTGCAAGCCAGGCACAAAAATTCTTCACCTAGGTTTGCTTAGATGGTTAGAAAATCAAACTGTGTATTCATCGCTCATAAAGGACGTAAGATCTGAAGCAACCAGAGAGGTGGGACTCTCAAAGGTTTTAGAAACCTAAAATGTGACGGAGAAGTGGAGATCTGCTTACGCTCGGATGAAATACCTGGTGTTTGTAACTCGTTATCAGGAGAGCCCCAACGACCAAGGGAAATATTTTCCAAGCTGGCACCGCGCAGTGTCATGGAAAGGGCGATAGCGGCGCATACAGCGAGCGCCGGAGGTCAGCAGTGACCGGCACTACAACCCAACCCGAACTGCACTGTGGATCTTCTCCCCACCCTCCTACGGGTGACACTGGAAGTCAAGAGGAACAGGGAGGAAATTGCCCTGGTACCTACACAGGGTGCCCACCCATAAGGAGGGCAAACAGAGTGAGCACGCAAGCTGCAACAACTTTTTTCGTTTTCTTTTTTTCCCCTCCTTTTTTCCTTTTCCTTTTCCTTTTTTCTTTTTCATTTTTTCCTTTTTTCTTTTTCTTTTTCTTTTTCTTTTTCTTTTTCTTTTTCTTTTTCTTTTTCTTTTTCTTTTTCTTTTTCTTTTTCTTTTTCTTTTTCTTTTTCTTTTTCTTCTTTGTCTTTTTCTTTTCCTTCTTTTTCCTTCTTTCTTCTTTTTCTTTTCCTCCGTTACTTCTTTTTTCTTTTTTCCTCTTTTTATCTTTTTTCCCCTCTTTTTCTCCTTTTCTTTCTTCTTTTCCTTCTTTTTCTTTTTCTTTTTCTTT